CAAAGGGGGAACCAATCACCATAATCGATGTCCAACCACCACCACCATCCACCAGGGGGATAACAACAGAAACATGGGTGAAGGGAGACAGCAGACGGTGTAAACTATGAAAATAACAAGAATTTATAAATTATCAATGGTTTACAAGAGTGGGAAGGGGCTGAAGAGAGCGGGGACAAAGAGCTGATACCAAGGGCTCTGGAGAGAAAATGCTTTGGAAATGATGATGGCAACAGATGTACAAATGTGCTTGATACAATTGATGTAGGGATTGTTCTAAGAGCTGTAATTTAAAAAATGAAAAAGGAAGTTGGGCTGCGATCCCATCCACAAGGTCAGCCATTCTAAACTCCAGCCGTTGTATGGGAGAGGGACGGGGCTAACTACCATCCCATAATTCATCTCGGGAACTCCCAGAGGGCAGGTCTACCCTGTCCTGTAGCAGCACAGAGTTAGAACTGCCTGGAGAGCAGTGCTTGCTTGTTTGTTGGCCTTTGCAGGGGACAAAGTCAGGAAGGGGGTTGGGGGGTGGAGAGAAGTGGAGCAGAGGGAGTCTTGGGCAGCCCTGATGGGAAGGAGAGCGGCAGGGCGGTTGTTCCGGGAGGGACCAGAGCCCAGGGACAGTTGGCACTTTTCAGTCTGGGCAAGAACGGGCTGAGTTGGTAAGTCTAGGGGTGAGCCAGCCAGGGAGGAATGAGAGAGTTAGATAAGCCCAGGGCGATTCCGAGGTTTGGTATCCAGGGCAGCAGTCTGGAGATGTGGGATGACACTTCCAGTCTGAGACAGGGGAGCGAGCACAGCCGGAAGGTGGAGGAGAGACTCCAGGCCACAAGAGGAGAGCTCGCTCTCGGGGTGTCCTGTGGGCTCCACAAACATGAACCGTGTGTTGGAGTTCTGCTAACGAAAACCTCCCTTTCCAGAATCTCTGTTCAACGCAGCCGTTCTCCACGAGCGAGACGTTCAAGAAACCCTTCAGGGGGTGAGAAGACGGTCTTCTCTGTAAGGATCATCCATGGACAGGGGTGAAAAATTAATCATCGGCTCCACGTTGAGAAATCCTCGCTAGAATCTTCACGTGGCTTTGCAGACGAGTCGAGAACCTGAATATAAAATGCTCCAGTTAGCTGCTTTTGAAAAGAAGGTGCTTCACTGACAGGCCCAACAAAGAAGTAACAGCAGTGGCAAATGCAGACAGGACACCAAATCCGTCTTACGCCAGCCCACCGAGTTTTTATTACGCCATCGCGGAAGAGAGCGTTCACCTGAACGAACTCCGCGGTTCCTTGGGCGACTTCCTGTGAGGTGGTTGTTGTGGTGGTTGTTCGTCTCATAGCGAGGCCGTGTCCAGCAGAGGGAAACACTGCTCTGCCCTGCACCAGCCTCACCATTGTGGTTTATGTTTGCGCCCATCATTGCAGCCACCGGGTCACTCCCTCTGGAGGGAGGGGCCCCTCCTTTTCACTGCCCTTCTGCTTCATCGGGTCTGGATCGCAGTCAGGCTGTTGGGGGGGAGGCTTGTTTTGTTTCTGAGTTTCCGTGTGTCTCGTGGCTCTGCCATTCTAGACCCTTCCTTTCTTCCTGCTGTCAATAACCCGGAAGCTACCAGGGGAAGCAGGGTTGTGTTGCTCGGTGGCTGGGGAATGAGTGCCACTGAAACAGCCACAGAACAGAGTCACAGTGCAGCCACAGCTCAGCCACAGAACA